CTGGCATGGAACTCACAGAGATCCGCCTGCCTCTGCCTCCCCAGTGCTGGGATTAAAGGCATGCACCACCACGCCCAGTTTTATTTTTATTTTTGTGTGTGAGTGTATTGCCCACATGTGTATAAGTGCACCTGTGTAGTGCAGTGTCCATGGAGATCAGAAAAGGGCATCAAATCCCCTGGAACTGGAGTTACAGATGGTTGTTAGCCACAATGTGGTTGCTATGAATCGAACCTGGGTCCTCTGCAAGGGCAGTCAGTGCTCTTAACCACTGAGCCATCTCTCCAGTCCTCTAGGTTTAAATATTTAATCAGGCGAAGCATAGTTATTTTTCTAGACTGGTCAGTTTCTATTTTGTCAGGTCATTCCCCCTCTCTCCACATAAGCCTCTATTTCAACTTGCCTTAGGAAGACTTTAAAAATTTTATTTTTATTTTGTGTATGAATGTTATGCCTGCATAACATTGGCTTGGTGTTACCATTACATGCTGAGCCATCTTGCTTGCCTGAAGTTTATGTTTTGTTTTGTTTGTATGTATGTATTATTCATGTGTGTGTGTTACAGTTTTTTGCAAAGAAAATGTGCATGTATGTAAGGGTACTCATGTCATACAGAGCCCACAGAGCCAGAAGAGGGCATCACATCCCCTAGAACTGGAGTTAGGGATGGTTGTTAACCACAATATGGGTGCTGGGAACTGAACCCAGGTCCTCTGCAAGAGTAGTCAGTGCTCTTAGCTGCTGAGCCATGACTTCAGCCCCCTTAGGAAGACTTTTTGAGGGACTATTGTACATTTAGAGAAAATACCATGGCAGATATTTCAAGTATTGCTACTGTCTACTGCTGTGATGGCCACCACCATAGTGGGGGACTGAAGCCTGGATTTAAACTGCTTATTAAATGTGCCTTGCACATTATATTTTTATAGTTTATTGTTACCTATAGTTTAACAAGTTGGTTCTAATTTTTGATAAGCAGTAATGCCCCCAATATTCTTTTGTTGAAAAATCCATTTCTCTTTTAAGAAAGGAACTTGCATATTACCATAAAAATACTTACTATTAAATTGTTTTGTGTTTAAAGGAGCTGAAGTTACCATTCACTTTTTTAAGTGGACATATTCATGAATTGAGGATTCATGTACCATGGACAAAACTGGGTTCAGAACCAGTAGTAATTACCATCAATACAATGGAATGCATCTTGAAGCTTAAAGATGGAATACAGGTAAGAAATTACTGTTGTTAACTAATTTTCACAGTGATTTTATTTGATATTTCTTTAACTTTTGGAGTATGTCAACTGTCATGTAAATAAATTTTATATACTTTTTACATGCCTATTTAAAGTGGCATAATTAATAAAGCATCTAAAGGATATTTTCATATAGATTTTGGCTAGTGAGTCATAGCCTTACTAGGGATCATGTAGATTTCTCATTGCCTATACCCAAAAGAAAAAGAGGCCTGGTCGAGTCTAGTTTTCAGTGAAAATTTTCACTAGTAGATCAATGGGAAGGTAATCCAACTTGTTGAAAAGTAACAGACATGTTTTTTGAATTTTTTGCAAAGGACTCATATGAATTTTTATTTACATGACATTGCTAGATCAGAAAATTTATCATGCTATTTTCTGAGGACAGGAAGGTATATCTCTCTTTATATCAAATTTCGTTATTGTTTTGGTTTCACAAACACTTTTTTCCAATATTTATTCCTTCTCTGACTCTTGTTATAATTCTTAGGTATACTTCTTAAAACATTTATTGCATTTGTTTATTTGTGTGTGTTGGTGTGTGTATCCCACATGTGCATATGGAGGTCAGAGGACAACCTCTGAGAGTCAATTATCTTCTTCTACTTTGTGGAATAAATCTCAGTCCATTAGGCTTGGTGTTACATACCATTACATGCTGAGCCATCTTGCTCACCTGAAGTTTGTTTATGTTTTGTTTTGTATGTATGTATGTATGTATGTATGTATTATTTGTGTGTGTGTGTATGTGTTTTTTTTTTTTTTTATGAAGATAAAGTATTTGTTTGAAGCAGTACCAACCAAAAATTTAAGTTAGGAAATAGGTTAGAATAGCTGAATTTTGTGAAATATGTTTTCACATTGCAGAAAAGTAGTGGGTGTGTCATTCACTTTTATTCTTCCTTAGCATGCATTTAACGTTTACTTTTCAGTTACTTATTTGTTTATTTTTGGTTTACTGAGATGGGCTTTTGCTTTATATCTCTGGCTGGTCTTGAATTAATGGTCCTCCTACCTCAAATTCTTTTGTACTGGATTATTCTTGAATTTATACTGAGCCACCATGATTACCTTTCAATCCTAAGGCAATTGATAAGTATCATTAAAATGCCTTTCTTCATTTATAAGAACTATATGACAATTTTAGTGTATCCTAAATATAACTTTGATTCCTGTTTGAAGCTGTATACTTTGAGTACCACAGTAACTCACTTGGCTCCTATCATTTTCTCTGTTTATGAAAACTTTGATTCCAAACCTATATTATCCATTTTAACTTAAATAATGCGATTCGTGGAAATAGAACAGTGTTATAGTCTCATGAAAATTTATTTTGTAAATTTTCAGTATTTGAGATTTGTTTAGAAATGTGTAGATAGTTATATTGCAACCTAATTTTGTTTTACATTTATATTTGGAAAGAAATAGTTCTTAACTATCATCTGTTACTGGACTTTAATTAAAAAAAAAATCTGGACCTGGTTATACCACCCAAGTAGTGCTTCACAGTGAAAGAAAGAAAATTACCCAGCTGCTGAGTATTTTTTCAATGGGAAGGTAGAAGTTTCAAGGCCAGATGTCCCATAAGAAACACATTTTAAAAGAGACAAATTACAACTAATTACAGAGGCTACAGAATAAGATCTGTAACACATGACTTAGTGCAACCTAGAACTAATATTTGATATTGGGCCATTGCAGATGGCTACTGCAGGAGTGATCAGATTTCTTCCTTGCATGGCATTTGAGACTTGAATTTTGTGGTGTGTACAACACAAGGTCAAGTGTTATAAATGTGAACCACTCCA